CTGCCACGGATGTAATTATCAGCTAGGGTTTTGTTGAATTTGCCATTGTATCGTTGAAAATAGTGAAGAATGGTAATATAGGTATCGGATAGTCATGATTCTTCGCTGATCTTTGTACCAACCAAGAAGAAATCATATATTGGTCAAAGTATCCATATTAAATTGGATAGAGGTAAAACTGAAAAAGATATCCTTATAATATTGTTATAACAACAATATTAGAAAAAAAAATGAAATTCCAATATTGTATACTCTATAGAAACTATAAATAAGGTTATGCAAATAACCGAGATTAATTCAAAACCGACGTTGAGAAAAATTATGAACTCAAGATATGTTATAATCGGTATATATTCTAACGATGAAGGGGAAAAGAAATAATTCCAAATAAATTTTATGTAACGATGAACAGTTTATATTTACTATTTAAATAAAATGATTACCTTATATTTCTTACCGCCCAATTAGTCTACTACCTTCTCTATCTGAAGTATTCGAAAAAATTCTGTTTCAGCGTTTAAATTCACTTAGACTATTTGATGGCATTCCAAATTTCCAGTACGGGTTCAAACAGCATGAGTCGACTATTCAGCAATGTTGCCGCCTTGTAGATTACATATCTTTCTCGCTAGAATCAAAATTGTACTGTCCTGGCGTTTTTCTTGACATGAGTCAGGCTTTTGATAAAATATGGTTTGTTAGATAAATTAAAAACCATTATTCCTCCGACATACTACTTAATTTTACTTTCATATCTAAAAGATAGATTTTTCCGTGTGAAAATGGGTACTGAGTTTTCTGCCATCAAACAAATAAAAGCTGGAGTACCTCAAGGCAGTGTCTTGGGTCCAACACTTTTCAATATTTACTGTTCAGACATCCCACAACATTCCGAAACACTGTTAGCTACATTTGCTGATGACTCGGCAATATTAACGTCTAACAAGGATGCAGCTAAGGCTTCTCAGGTATTTCAAGAACACCTAGACGACATAGCTTGTTGGGCTAAAAGGTGGAGAATAAAAATGAACGAGTCTAAGAGCCAATTTGTTTCATTTACACTTAAACATGACTCTTGTCCTCCAGTGTTCTTCAATAATATCGCTCTACCACCTTCAAAAACTGTACGATATTTGGGTCTCCACTTGGACAAACGACTGACATGGACATACCACATAAAACAAAAAAGAAAAGAACTTAATCAACGATACGGACTTCTTTCTAGGCTACTTGACAGACGTTCTAAATTATCTGTGACTAATAAACTAACTATTTACAAAATCCTCATTAAACCACTTTTGACATATGGGATCGAACTATGGGGAACAGCTAAAAAATCAAGTATAAAAATCATCCAGTCACTCCAGTCAAAAGTCCTTCGGAAAATTGTAGACGCACCCTTTTACGTTTCAAACCTCACGTTACACACTGACCTTAACATTCCTTTCTTCACGGCAACTACCACTGACCGCTTTAATAATTTTCATGACAGACTGACTCTAAATTCCAATCCACTTACTCAAGCTCTATCTACTGCCACAAATCCATATAATCCGCCCAGAAGACTGCTGAGCCGCTGGCCAAGAGACTTATTGCATTGAGCTACTTGCTGCATTATCCTTTTCTTTTTTTTCTTTCTTTTTTTTTTGTTTGTTTGTGTGTTACTATGTGTTATCTTACTACTGTTTTTTTTTTTGTTTTTTGTCTTCTTGTTTTGTTATTACTATTCTTTTTTTCTTTATGCTATTATTTCTTCTCCTTGATATCATATTTGCTGAATACCGAGGTAGATGGCAAATTTATTGTAAGCCAAGAATATGTACATTATAATAAATAACCTTGTATTTCTATGTTATGGTACCTATTCTTATTATGACAACAATTTACTTTATAATAAACTATAAAAGTTTTTAAATAATAGTAAATATTCTAAACCGTAAAAATAATAACATAAAAGCAAAATGGGTCAGAAAACTTATATAAGTGATAGAAAACTAAACCATTACTTCAATGATTTCTTACAAACAGAAAACCAATATCATAAAGAATTTATTAAATAGTGCTCATATATTAAACGACAAAGAGTTCACGAGTTAAAGATACAAAAAGTATTAGAAGAAGAAAATCATTTGAACACAACCGAAATAGCGAGATGAACGGAAATAATATAAATAACATAACTATCACAAATACTAAAATAGATAAAGATAATAAAAATTGAATAACTAATAATACATTACAATCACAGATTACTAAATAATGCAAAATGTTGAAAACATGATGGTATAGCAAACAAGAACTTCATATTAGTGTAAATTATAAACGAATATTCAGTTATTTTTAAATTTAAATGCATGCTCAAACCCACAGATCAAACAATAGTTATTTTATGCAATTTTAATACTAAAATATAGAACTCTGATAAAAAAGAGATAAACACAAATGAACTTTCAATGTTCATTCTTCGGTGATGATTATGTCTCCACAATAAAAAGAAAAGTACCCTGAAATAACACTGTGCATATTAGCAAAGTTATTGGAGTTAATGGAAATAGCCCATTTACCTTATCATAAAAAGGGGGGTATATGTTTCATCAAATGGGGGTAGAAGGTTTATTTTTTTTTCTTGTATGGGATGTGACTGGGATCCAAGATTTAGACCTCAGCGCCCCTCCCCGGATCACTTTTGAAAATCCCCAAAACTGCTATATGTTCCCACTTCTTTCGTTTTTACCCCATCATGACCATGAAGAAGCACATTTTTGATAAAGAACATTCTATACATTTTTTAACTAAATGAAATATGCTGCGATTTTAGATCAAAATAGGTTTGTTAAATTTAATCACCTCACTATAACCAATGTCCAACAGACAGATTGTTATAATACTCAATAAAGAAATTAAAAAAAAAAAAATTTAATAAGTTTTGAAATAGAAATTTTCAAAGCTTTGGAAATTTAGCGAACTTCAAAATTTTATGTAAATAAAAGCCATGGAGGGAATACCGCTGAGTATTGCTATTCCTCATGCCTATCAAGCCTTTTTATTTTGTTTTGTTTTTTAATATTATTATTTCAGAAAGAAGAAGAAGGGACCGAGGTGGTTTGGACATGTCTTCGAATGGCTGAAAACAGAGTTGCCAGGGCTACCTACGAGGTCAAAGTGGAGAGAAGGGGGCCGCAGGGAAGACCAAGAAAAAGATGGGAAGAAGGAATTAAAGAAGCCTTTGCCAAGAGAGAAATGGACTGGAGTAGAAGAAGACAGCTGGCCCAGGATAGAGGTGTTTGGATCAACCTCTATAAGAAGGAACTTCACACTGCTCAGCCTAAAAAAAAAAAAAAAAATATATATATATATATATATATTTTACTTCTCCTTTCACACATATACAATGAAATAGTTTTGTTAACAATACTATTGCCTTGATTAGGTGGATTTTAAATATTTTCTATTTAGGTTATTTTATTTTTTTATTGTACATAGTTTTTATTTATTATTATTTAGTTATTGTTTTACTTTGTTATTTTTTTTTTTTTGTATATACGGTGTGAATGTGTTCATTTATCAATATAATTATTGTCCTTGTGACAGAATATTATATGTCTAAATAAATAAAAAAAAAAAATATTTTCTACAAACGTAATATTTTTTAAAGTTTACATTTAGTTACCAAATTTCATTTTATTTCCTTGAAAACAAGTAGTTTACGTTAAATATTATCAGTTTTCAAAAATTATTATTTATAATTTGTTTGCCACTCTCCGGTACCTTCTACAACCTTCTATATTAGATATTGTTTTTCTAAAATTCTCCGCTTTCCAACGATATATTATAAGTATATCTTCTGACTTGTATTTCAGTAGATTCATTTTCGACCTGTATAACCATTTTTATTTTTTTCTCCTTTATTCAATTATCAAATTCTTTATATTTAGCAAAAGTTATATTTAGCATTTTTTCGTAACTTTTAATAATGATAGATAGTTGATTATTTAAAATAAATCATATTAAAGGTACTTTAGAGGAAGACGCATATGAACATTGGGCATTTAAGCTCTGTAAAGTGATATAAATGGGGATAAGACCTAATTGATATTAAAGACCACTTAATTATACAATGATACACCGACTTTAATCAAAATCGTTAGAGCCGTTTTTGAGAAAATTGTGAAAATGTGTTTCAGCGTTAATATAAAGTGGAACTTCCGGTTAGCCGATTTTAAAGAAAAAGTTGCCGTCATACCTAAGGCATATACTTATCTTAAATAAGTAATATCAGTTTCGTAGGACTTTTCGTTTTCGAGCTAGAGTGTTCACATACACACAGATACAAAGACACACAGACACCCAGACCATTTTTCAGGACTTGGTTATTTGGACTCAGAGTACCCCAAAACGTGTATTTCCTTTGAAAACTCAGATTCAAACATTTTCTCGATTGCAATACTTATCCTTACTATATATTACATATACACGTAAATGAAAGTAATAAGCTCAATCAGAAGACAAAAACGAATATTCACCTAATAAGTACAGTACTATGCGGATAGAAACGTTATCGCGATTGTTGGAGGGTTAAACATATATATAATTATAAAATTCAAAAGAGCGCATTAATAATAAATATAATTAAAAGGGGATGAAATATAAAATAATGTTGATATAAAATAGACAGGATGTGGATTACTACAATTATTGAAGAAGAAAATTAATCTTTATTGTCTAAAATAAGTACAAATATAAATGAAAACATTGTTTATATGAATAGACAATATCATACACCTTCAAATTTATTTTCGTCCAACCTGAAACAAAAAAAACTGTCAAAATTGCTTAGACAATAAAATTATACTAGGTAAAAAATCATCCACTCTCCAGATATCAAATTCAAATGTTAAATGAACTTGAACAAGTATAGGAATAAATTTCACCTTTGCTAAAATAATTAAATAAACTTTTTTTTCCCATTTATTTGAGCAATTAATTTTTTATCAATGTATTCATCTTACCTTAACATCTAAGCACTTCAGGTACTCGTAAGTTGTTTCACATTTGTCAGCCTTAGCTGCAAGGATTTATAAATTATAGGCAATGCATAAAACGAAAAATGTATTAGATTATTAAGTGATTAATCGATCAATGAAAGTGAATGTCTAATACCGGATATATCGCATTCCTCGATTGCCTTCATGTACTTCTTCTTCAGTCCATCGTCTTTGATCAGTTCATCGATGACCTTCTTTTCCACTTCTTTGTCAATAGTGCCATCTGACTTGAGCTAATCAAATTAAAGAAACGTCTTAATATTTTCCTAAATTTCTGAATTATTTAAATTATATATTACTATAAATATGGCTATGTTGTTCACTATCATAAGATTAATAAAAATACAAAATTATCCTTACCACACCCTTTTTTTCAAATGAGCAAGCCACAGCACACTGTAAAATAAGAGAATTGGTCGTTACTTAAAATAGTTGGTGATAATAATTATAAAACTGATACTAATTGCTATATATTGTAAATTATATTGTTTTGTCCCATTCAACTAAAATATCAGATTTAAATAAAGTTAGTAAGAATTATTGACACATATCTCTGTGATGAAAGTAATGAATGATCTTTATTAAAAACAAACAATACATTAAAGCAGTATACTCATTTATAAAAGAACATGAATGAAAAGCCATGGGGAAAAATTAAAATTAAAACTTTGATATAAAAATATTTTTAACTTACTTTGGCTTCTCTTGAAACATCAGGAGAATTAAAATCTGAAACATGAAATAAAAATTTGATAACAATGTTCAATTTTTTTAGTAGCCAGTTTTAATATTAGGATTGATGATACTCACTTAACTCTTCGATGTCGCCAGTAAACCCATTTTCTTTATTACAAACAGAGGCGACTTCTTTAAATGTTTCTGACAAAACCTGTAAATAAAATTGGTAAATGATTTTTTAAAATAATGAAGTGAATTACCTCCTACTTTGTAGAACTACTTAACAACTAAAATACATTCAAGTGGGGATGGAATAAAAAAGGAAACTAATAAATTAACTAAGTCTGCTATTACTTGAGGGTTAAGAAGAGGGGTGAACTCGAGTAAGGAAACACTCCGGGGAAAGCACTATCCGGCGTAAATAAGAGAATGGTTATACTTTTCTGGATGAAAGATTTTATTATTTAGAATAACTCATATTCCTGTTACAATACAATTGTAATCTCGTGATGCTGAATGGCAATGAATTATAAATGATAAACTAATCAAATAATAAGTGGGAACTTAATAAGGTAAAAATCAATAGTAAATATATTTATAAAGCAGAATTTTTTTGTTTTATTTTTGTTCTTTCTTAAAAGTTTTATAATAGATAACTAAATATAAGAATAAATGGCATTGATCTGATTTTTTGTTTGGTTGCTTCAATTTAATATTTATCATCCAGAAAGCTCTTAAATTTCAAACCTTCTGATTCAAGCTTACTAAAGTTGACGAATAAATAAATAAAAAAGTAATTAAGAATGGAGCTCGTTATTATTGATCTTCCTTTCCCAAATATATTTCACTTAAATTATTATTTGTTTGAAGATAGAGTACATATACTCACGATAATTAGAAAGGTTTACAAATTTTCTTAAAAAAGTAAAAAAAAAAAAAAAATCGAAATCCGACCACTTTTCGCAAAGATGTTATGTTTTTGTATGTTATTTTGAATATTTCTATTTTTTCTCGGATCAATACAGTATGCAAACTTTTCGCTTGGACCACGTATTTAATATTTATTAATTGAATATCTTATCCACATTGTATTACATTAAACTGACATTAATTTTTAAAGAATTAGTCTATTGTCCTCCAGAATGGAAGAATTGGTGCATTTTGAACTTACAGTATGAACTGTCAGCACTACAACAACCAAAACTAGATGTAAACTCTGCATGTTGGTTAGAATCGCTGTTGTTGATTGTGTGAATACCTGCTGTGGATGACTACTGAATGAATGAGCACAGGATTCTGCGATATATATATGTGGCTCTGATGTGAGGATGTAAATCATTAATCATTGTTCACATAGTGTCACATACATCAGTTGACCTTAATGATGAAGTCACATTGTAAAAATGAATAAAAAATTGTATAAAACTGTAATTTTCCATTAACGAATTTGTAATTCAGTACTTACTTTCATTAGACATACGTACATCGGAAGTAGTATACAACAGAGTTAGTTTGTTTACTGTTCAAAAAATAAGTACGACTTGAACCGTTGACTGATGATGTTTATTCCTTTTGTTGTGTCATTACCTGTAGTTCATTCTTACGAGATTTTTATGTCTGCTAAGGCTCAGACTGTTCTACGACTAGACTAGTAAAGAACTGGTGAATCGAAAATGGAATCAAAGAATCGATTCCTAAGAAGGAATTGTACTCACATGTGATTCACAGGAAAGAATCACTTTTCACTTGAAATTAGTCGATTTACTCGGAATTGGTCGGTTCATTGATTCACTCGGAATCGATACTTTTACCGATTCTCTCGGAATCGGTACCTTCACCGATTTACTTGGGACTGGTAAATTTACAATGCACTTGAAATCGGTCGATTTCCAATTCACTCTGAACCATTCGAGTTCTTATTCACTCTGAATCGGTCAATTCACCAATTCACTCTGGAGGAGCCCGTGTAAGTCTTTTCTCATCTGCCAGTCCAAGGTGTTGCAGTTTATTGATTTGAGGAATTCGGACATATTCGAGTTAAATATAAGGGAAAGTATCAAGTCATAAAACAAAATAAATTTGTTAAGATTAATCTACATATATTTGAATTTGTTATACTTTTCACAACTCGTGAACTTTTGTTAAGTATTGTAAAATATTTGAGACTTAGTCAGGATTTTATATCGTGTTAAGATTGCTGGATCGTCTACACATGACTGTTTGTAGTAACATTTGAATATGTAATAAGGAGTGAATATTGAACCCTGGCACCTCTGCTAAGGATGGTATAGTCCATACATGGGAAATTCGATTCTTTTAACGGGACTGATTCGTAACGATTCAATCATTTTGATTATTATGAACGATTCTATTGACCAAGTCCACAATACTATTCTGAATAATCTCTAAAATACATAGGGAAAAAATTGTAGGTGCATATCTTTCCAACACAGCCGGCGTAGATTAAAATTTATTTGTTTATTAAGACATGACTCCTAAGAAAGTATTAAAACAGATTCTAGCTTCATCCATCTGCCTCTTTAATTTAATAGATCCCCCTCTTTGTTTCATTGTAGGGTGTATATTTTTAATCTTTAGAGCTCATACTAGAAACAATATATTAAAATTTAGTGATGAAACAAAAATTGAAATATGTGGATTACACCGATAATTTAAAACGATGAATCACAAAAAGTTCAACAAATTTTTTTTTGTTCTTCCCTACCTTGCCTTTTAGGCTATACGGGGTTTTCTCGGGCCGAGGGGTGAGGGCGTAGAATTTAAAATACCCTTGTGGGATGCGAATTCTTTTGTACTTTTTAATCTCTCATAACTTCGGTTATCTGGTTGCAGGGCAGCGCGCGGTGTGCACCTGCGCTAGCTCATTCGGCCACTCCGACCTCCCAGGTGAAATAAGTTGCAAGAAATATCTTAGGAAGCATATCCTCGAAGAATGGTACAAGATACCGACTTCTGTGTTCTCAAACTGGTTTTTTCTATTCACAGTAGACTCAAAAAGGTAATAAAAGCTAACAGTAATCACCAAAAATATTCATTTATTTATTCACTCTATTATTCCTAATATACAGGACAAAACGAAGCATTCAAGTGATATTGTCACTTATTTTGGGATAAAGACTGAAAGAAAGTTTAACTTTACTCCTCACTTGGACTATTTGTAAAGTAGGGTTGCTCCAGCTCTTAATGGGATCAGATTCATCAGGGGTACCTTTCGGGATGGTTAAGGGTTATTAGTTATTCAGTTTAGAGTGGTTAATTTGGAAATATGAATGATTTTTTTAAAAATAATAATTCATTTATGGGATTAATATTATCATTATTGTTTTGATTAATTCCTATCTTATTAATCTTTCTTATTGAACAAATGAATGAAAATTCTGTATTTTGTAATTAATATGTACAACTAATGTATGTCTGTTTCCATCAAATACACTGACAGGCAAAAAATTCCACCCACTTGATTTTTTCATGTTTTCATCTAAAAATATTTCTGCTTTGGATTGGTCTATTGTTTTTAATGAATAAATAGGTAATCTTTTTGTTTGTTTTCAATTAGTAATGTTAATATAGAGGACAATAACTCTTACTCCTTAATTCAATGAAATGATTCTAGATTCCAATGTTTACTTTCTATGGTATCAAAATGTTTATTCAGTATCATTGGTTCAGTGCCGTTTCATGCAGCACATTTCTTAGTCTCCGGCTTTTAATTTTTTCAATATTAAGTTTAAAAATGCCTCTTAGTGCTGAGGATGTTGCGCGTGGTGTGGCACTTATTATCATTCGATGCAGCTAATGCCATCGGAGTTCTATATGAAACTTTACGAGACGCCGTCAGGCGTTTTCGGGAAACTGGTTCTTACAATAAAGGGCCCGGTTCTGGACGGCCTAGGGTAACAGAACCACGGGATGACCGGTTTTTGAATTTTACGATACCGGCACCTTACCGTTGTTCAAGCGATTCATCAGCTCGAAGAAGTTCGGTCTTTGACGGCTCTTCGCTACATAGCGAATACATACATGAGATTTTGGAACCTCATGTGTTGCCTATCCTCAACGAAATCGGCGATCGTTCAATTCTAATGCACGATAATGCACGCACACATGTAGCTTGCATAGTGCAGACGTTCCTTCAACAGAACAATACTGGTTTAAAGTATGCCGAGGCGTCTTCAAGAAGTAGTGAAGGCAAGAGGAGGAAACACGCGCTACTAAACGATGATGTAATTAATTTTTTTTATAATAATAATAGTTCGTTTTTAAATTTGTTTTTCTCTAATCTTTCTTACCCAATCACATTTTGATTATTAAAGGTAAAAAATGGCTATTGTCATCTATATTAACATTTCCAATTGAAAACAAACAAAAAAATTACCTATCTATTCATTAAAAACAATAGACCAATCCAAAGCAGAAATATTTTTAGATGAAAACATGAAGAAATCCAGTGGGTGGAATTTTTTGCCTGTCAGTGTACATCAGACATTCTATTAAAAAATGGTATAAATTTTCTGGCTTTTGGAGGTTTCATATAGTACAGTTTTCTTCTCCTTCTGGTGTATAGGCCGTTGATTTAAGATTGATTATTGATTAATTTCTTTCTTCGGTAGTAAAATGGTATATGGCACTGTTGGTAATACTGCACTAAACGCATTTCATAACTAGTTACAAACCATATCGCTTCCGATTAATTTTCAATTCTATTTGTTAATCTAATATAAGAAAACTATATAAAATTAATAACATTCATTACACTTGGTGTTTTCTCCTTTTCGGTAGAAATGTGCATCATTAGCTTTAGAAATAATAGAAAAGTCTGTTACTATACACATATATTTGTTTTTATTGAATAGAATAGAATAGTATAGACTTTTATTGCGATCGGGGAAGTCCCCATAGAATAGGAGTGCGGACATAAATCATATTTAATAGATAATTTTCTTCTTTTTGGTATAACAAAAAAATAAATAAATATATATGTATACATATACATATATCAATACAATACAAACATAAATTTGGCTACAATAATGACAATGATACAATTTAAAAAATAACGAAATAATAATAATGAATAAATCAAAATAAATTTTTAATTCTATGATCTATCGCAAAATCTCTTAAATTAAAGCTTGATCTGGTGTAAAAGTAAAGATTTTTAGTATTTTTAGGAGATATGTTTTGAGAAATATGCTAGTATAATGGTTAAGCGGTAGGAGGAGTATGCTGGGCATGTTGTGAAGAATTGGTGAATATTTTCAGCTTCTGTCTCATTGCAGATGGTGCAGGTTTCTATTGGATTGAGTCGGTGCGTTATGGTTTTTATAGTTATCTGTTGGAACTTAATGTTAGCTGTCCGGTGGCTTCACCAGAAGGATTGGTAGGCGAGGGTATTCCGTAATCTAGACCCCCCTACTATGCACCTTCCATCACATCCCTATAACATTCATATCACTGTATTTCTTGTAACTATTTATTTAAAAAATGTCAATGTTTTCACAAAAACAAAGTGGCCACCCTGTCTTAAAATGGCGTCCAAACATGACCGGACGATTCCTTTTATTTTGGTTGGATTTTCGGTCACTGATATTCAGCAGTTGGTTTAATTTCGTCATAATTAGTACTTCATTAAAGCTGGATAATGATTAAATAATAAAACATTAAAAAAATTTAAAAACTAATTGTCCTTGACAATAAAAATACCAGTGAAATAAATTCTATTTGCTTTTATGTTATTGTTTTTATCGTCTAGAATCATTTGTTAATAATGTTTTATTTAAAAATTTTATTGTTTATTATAATGTAAATTGTTATCATAATAAAAAATCGATAATGTAAGATAGAAATATAATGCAATAAAATTGTTTAAATATTATATAAAAAGTGTTCATCGTTCCATAAAATTTATTTGGAATTATTTCTTATCTCATTCATCGTTAGAATAGATGCCGATTATAACATTTATTGAGTTTATTGGTTTTCTTGAAGTCGGTTTTGAATTAATCTCTGTAATTTGCATCACCTCATTTATAGTTTTTATAAAGTATACAATTTTGGAATTTCATTTTTTTTTAAATATTTTGTTAATAACAGAATAAGGATTTCTTTTTCATGTTTACCTCTATAAGATCAGAGAAAAAAACTTAGCATAGACATTTAATGAGCTATTTTATAATTGCTGGGGAAACTATGTTCAATTGGAAGACAAAAATGAATATTCACCTCCAAAGTATGGTACTATACGTTTCCAAACCGTAGCGTTATTGCTGGAGGGTGAAACATAAATATAATTCTTAAATTCAATATAGTATATTAATCATAAATATAAATAAAGTGGGTGAAATATAAAAAAAAAAATGAGATAAAATAGAGAGGATGTGGAGTACTACAATTATTAAAGGAGAAAATTAATCTTTATTGTTTAAAATAAGTGCAAATATAAATGAAAACATATTTTTTCACATGAATGGACAAATATCATGCGCCTTCAACTTTATTTTCGTCCAACCTGAAACAAAAAATGAAATGGTCAAAATTGCATAGATCATACTTTTTTTTTTTTAAATTATACTAGTTAGATAATCATCTACTCTCCACATACCAAATTCAAATGTTAAATGAATTTGAAAAAACATAGGAATAAATTTCACGTTTGTTAAAATAATCAAATAAACTGTTTTTTTCTATTTATTTGAGCTTTTAATATTTTATCAATATGTTCATCTTACCTTAACATCCAAGCACTTCAGGTACTCGTAAGTTGTTTCACATTTGTCTGCCTTAGCTGCAAGAATTTATAAATTATAGTCAATGCACACAATTAAGAATTTATTAGACTATTAAATGGTCAATCGATCAATGAAAGTGAATGTCTAATACCTGTCATATCGCATTCCTCGACAGCCTTCATGTACTTCTTCTTCAATCCATCGTCTTTGATCAGTTCATCGATGACCTTCTTTTCCATTTCTTTGTCAATAGAGCCATCTGACTTAAGCTAATCAAATTAAAGAAACATCTTAATATTTTCCTACATTTCGGAGTTATTAATATTATATATTATTATAAATATGGCTGTATTGTGTACTATCAGAAAGGTATAATAAACAGTATTATTAAAAATATAAAATTATCTTTACCACACTCTTTTTCTCTAATGCGCAAGCTGCAGCACACTGTAAAATAAGATAAATGATCATTACTTAATAGCTGGTGATAATAAATATAAAACTAATACAAATTGCTATATTGTAAATTATATTATAATGATGTAGAGTTGGTTGACCGTTGATATGATATGAGAAGGAATTAGTCGAGGGTGCGGTCAAAAAAATAAAAAAAAATTAAAATATATAAATAATTTTAATTTTTGCCGACGTTATTTTCTTTTATCTATTTTCTTATCATGTATTTATTTTCTTTATCTTTTATTTCTGTATCTGACAACTTCTTCGTAATTTATATATACTTATATTTATTTTTTATTTTATTTTTAATTTTTCAACATGTTTGTATCTTTTGTAGCCCTGAAGACGACCTGCAAAGTGGGTCGAAACGTCGGCAAAAATTAAAATTATTTATATATTTTAATTTTTTTTATTTTTTTGACCGCACCCTCGACTAATTCCTTCTCATGTAAATTATATTGTTTTATCTCATTCAACTAAAATATTCGATTTGAACAAATTTTAAAAAACCTTAGTAATAATTATTGATACATATCTCGGTGATAAAAGTAATGAATGATCTTTATTGAAAACAAATAATATGCGCTAAAGCACTAGTCATTTAAGAAGAAATCTGTATGAAAAGCAATGAGGAAACATTTAAATAAATACTTTGATATAAAAATATTTTTAACTTACTTTGGCTTCTTTTGGAACGTCAGGAGAATTAAAATCTGGAAAATGAAATCAAAAATTGATAACAATGTTCAATTTGTTTTAGTGTCCAGTTTTAATATTTGGGTTGATGATACTCACTTAACACTTCGATGTCACCAGTAAATCCATGTTCTTTATTACAAGCAGCAGCGACCTCTTTAAATGATTCTGACAAAACCTGAAAATAAAATTGGTATTTATATTTCGACTACTTAGATTCATACTGTGGCATCAACAACTAAACAGCGCCACTAACCAAATATTGTAAAATGACTAAATATAATACTGAATAAACTATTTTCTTATGTATTGTTTCTTTATTCTATTTTAGTTAAATGATCTATATTAGGATGGCCGAAGGGTTCTTGTGAAATGCTGCACATCTTGTAACGGATGTCGGCCACTTGTACTGGAGTAGCTAAGACTTACAAAGCTCCATGAGATTGGGAATAGTGCGGCTGAAGTTCAGGTCACGCAATAGTCTGACATTAGAAGATCTTTAAAAAATAATGAAGTGAATTACTACTAACTACTTAACTACTAAAATGCACTCAGGTGGGGATAGAAAGAAATATTATACAAAGTCTGCTATTACTTGAGGTTTCAGAAGAGGTGTGAAATCCAGGAAGAAAACGCTGCACTGAAAGCAATCTCTGACGTAAAGAAGAGAATGGTCATACTTTTCTGGATAAAAGATTTTATAATTCAGAATAATTCATATTCGTGTTGAAATACAATTATAATCTCGTGATTCTGAATGGTAATAAATTAAAGATGATAAATTAATGAAATAATAGTTTTTTTTTTACTTTAATTTTTTTTATTCACACCTGTCATAATGGTAATGACAACCAGTGAATGAGTTGATCTATTGCAAAATATAATGTCATGAAAGCAGTGCCCCAGTGGCACCTCCTTCGGGCTTGATATCTACATTGGGTTAGGAGATCCCTCATCCAGCTCCTTTGAGTCTCCTACAGACATTAACTGGTATGTTATGTGGCATTGAATCGTTTGTAATGTGCTCATTAACAGTCGGCATATGGAGGTGAGTATGTAAGGTTATGTTGCTAACGTACCAAGGTGCTTTTGTAATTGTCCTGAATGTTTTTGCTTGAAAGATTTGAAGTTTGTTAATTTGAGTCATTTTAGGTGGTCTAAATATCTGCGATGAATAAGTCCAAATAGGTTTTAGTAAGTAATTGTATGAGTTAATTCTGTCTAAGTTTTAGTTTTCAATGTTTCAAAAGAAGTGAATTCAGAATTCTGAGTCTTTGACTTAGGGTTTTTCTTTTTTTAGTTATAGGTGGGCCCTACGCCATTTTTCAGTCAAATGTCAGACCAAGGTAGTGAACAGTGTCTGTCTGTGGAATCTGTGTATTGTCCAGGAAACTGGAGAGTATGTTTTATGTCGAAGAGTAGTACCTGTCGAAGAGTAGGAATTGTGTTATGTTGTGATTTGCTTTGATTTAGTCGGATTTTTCTAATTTTGTACCAGTCATGTGATATTGTTAAATTCTTTTGTAGGACCTGTTAGACGTATGTTGGATTTTTGTGTCTTGCTAAAATTACTGTGTCGTCTGAACATGTCGCTGTTAAATTGTTGGAACTACAAGGTATGTCATGGATGTAGGTGATGTACAGTATGGGAGCGAGTAATGAACCTTGGGGAACTCCTGCTGAGAAAGACCTTATACAAGATAGTTCAGACCCGTGTCGGACGAAGAACAATCTGTCGGAAAGGAATGATTGTAGAATTAGATATGAGGTAGGTGGGAGTATTGTTTTGAGTTTAAAGAGAAGATCCTAATGCCAAGCACTCTCAAACCCTTGAGCAACATAATTGGATAGTTAAGAAGGTAAAAATCGATAGTGAATATAATTGTTAAATCGAGAATTTCTTAGTTCGTTTGTTTCTGTCATTTGTATTTAAACGATTTTATGATTAAAAACTATAAATAAGAATATTATAAATTGTACTAATCTGATCTGAATATAAGAATAAATGGCATTAATCTGATTTTGTTGTTTGGTAGCTTCGATTTAATATTTATTATCTAGTAAGTTCTTAAATTTTAAATCTTCTAATTTACGCTTATTAACCTTGACCAATAAATAAAAAGTGTGCTAATTAAAAATTGAGCTGACTAATATGGATCTCCCTTTCCCAAATTAATTTGTCATAAATTATTATTACTCTCTCTTTCTCTCTCTAGAGTTTACATACCCACGATAATTAGAAAGGTTCAAAATTGCCTTAAAAACGTCAAGAAAAACAAAAATCGAAATCAAACTATTTTTCGCAAAAATGCATTTAGTTATAATTGTATAAGTGTAATTGTATGTTATTTTGAATAAAAATTAATTTATCTTTCTCATAAAACGTTGAATTTACTTATTTCTATCTTTTCAATGACCAATATACTGTGCAAACTTTTCACTAGAGTCACCTAAATATTGTTTATTAATATTATACCTAATACTGATCGACGTTGTATTACATTAAACTGACAATAATTTTTAAATAATTAGCCTATTGTATTTCACAATGGAAGAATAGATGCATTTTGAACTTACAGTATGCGCTGTCAGCATTACAACGACCAAAACTAGATGTAAACTCTGCATGTTGGTTAGCACATAGTAGTTGTTGATTGTCTGAATACCTGCTGTGGATGACTACTGACTGAATGAGCTCTGGATCCTGCGATATATATATGGCTCTGATGTGAGGGTGTAAATCATTAATCATTGTTCACATAGTGTCAAATACATCAGTTGACCTCAATGATGACGGAAATTTGGAAAAAAAATAAAACAATTATAAGAGCGTAATTTTTCATTGACGAATTTGTAATTTAGTATTTCCTTTCATTACATATTCGTACATCGGAAGTAGTATTCAACAGTTTAATTTGTTCACTATTCAACAAATAAGTTTGGAATGTCGACGAATGAAGTTTATTCCTCTCGTTGTTGGTATCAGGTGTTCTTTCTTACAGGATTTTCATTCCTGCTAAGGCTCAGACTTTCCTACTATTAGATTAATAATGAACAGATGAATCGAGAATCGAATCAAACCAACTCCTCAGAAAGAATTGTACTCTCAAGTGATTCACACGAAAGAATCACGATTCACTTGGAATTGGTCTCTTAACTCGGAAACGGTAGATTTACTCGAAATCAGCCGATTCACTGATTAACTTGGATTTCAATTTTTCAGGATCCACGATAAGTGAAAGTTTCGAGTCGATTCTCGATAACGCCGCTAGAATCTCTCTCTCTCGGTTCTTCACGCGTTTGCTCTGGGAAATCTTCCAGTCGTATTCCATTGTTTGCTTGATCGTTTTGTTTATTTTGTCAATCTAATCTTCTATAAACATTCTCCCTTCGGACATTTATAACCCATGCTTAGTTCGTCGATTTATTTTGTCTGTCTGTTTGGTTTATTTTTATGTGCATACATTTTATGTGCATAGTTTTTTCTCTTTTATTTTTTTTAATTAAATATTTTGTGAATATTCAATTTGATGTATGGGCACACTGTTTGTTTGATTTATTTTGTATTTATAATTTGTTCTAGAGGGACATCAATCCCAGATTAATAAAACTATTGTTCATTTAATTTACAATTCATATACACAGACTCTAATGTCAGACATACACAAAATTAAATATATAAAATTAAAAAATTCCTGTTCTCTTAAAACTTCCACCCTTCCTATAAGCTTCATATCTTCTATATTTGTCTACATTTGAACCAGGACCTTAAATCAACAAGGTTGAAAATGTTTGTTTGTTTTTTTCAATAAAAAGTTCCTTTTCGACGATTCTTTCATAAAAATCGATTAACCACAATGATTGAATCGGTTTCATTGAAAGTTTCGTATACGATGAACAATACTAACACGATAATATCTAAATCATATACAAGTCTGAAACACTTTACTTCACCTTATAAAATTTCCTGATTTGTGAAAAATAAGGAAAATTCAAATCAATCTATACTAATCACAACGAAGTATTTTTTTTTCTATAACATGATACTTTATCTTCTATTTAACTCCTATCTATTTAACTATGTGAGAACTCCTCAAACCAATAAACTGCAATACCTTGGACTGACATATTAGAGAAGAAGTACATGGGCTCTACAATAGATGAGAGGGAGAAATATCTATGTTTTGGTGGAATTAATTTATTTTTGTCATTTATAAATACATTAGTTACCTTTACAGTAATTTGATCGATAAAATATTGATTTTTTTAAAATGTAATATTTTATTGAAAAAAAAATACAGTTTGCCTCAATTAAGGGCATTGAGTATTTATGATGAATGAAACACAAACATACCTTATATAAAAGAAAAGAAAAACAAGATTAAAATAAAATAAAACTTGGAGCAACAGATATCAAAAAGACGTCTTGCATATACCCTTTTTGAAGATATGAAAAATACATCTTTTCTACGTATTATAGATTTATAAGCCTATTGGATGAAATTATATTTGTGTGTCACAAGCCAAATGTATTTTTGATATCATTTTCGGGATGGCTTAAAGAGGGCTAAAAAACGACCTCATTATTACATATTTTTGATGTCTTAATACCTCTTTTAAATATATCTTTAAACATCTCATATCTTGATCGAGATATGCGTTATGCAACTTTTAGATAAATTTGTGATGGTTGGGATCTTGTTCTTGGGCAAACCTTGAGAGTTACACCATATTTTGTCTAATGGTCTTAGCGAATTTAACTGAAGGGATACTTTACACTGAGGTAAATTTTTATGTCAAAAGTCATTATAAGATATGTAACTTTACCAATTTCGTATGTTGAATAGGCTTTCTTAATATTTTTGTACTTTTATACATCTCCAATATTGCTTAAAGTTTAGATGCATGTAGAGAAAAAAATTATACCTATTACGAGATTTCTGGATTGAGTATTTGTGTATATGTTGATAAAGTTCTTAATCATTATTAACCCCGAAATATTTACAAACTTTAGTAAAAAATAAATAACAGATACTGAAATATGTAGTATTACTATTACTATTTAACTTTTTCAAAGGTTGGTTTTGTGTTTATTAAGTTTCAAATTACATCCATTACCTGAACTAATTATAGAGTACGTAAACGGAAGAAATTAACAATGATTAAAAAACTTAATTTATTCATTTTGTATATAGGTATGACTATGTTTTCACTTCTTTAATTTACTTATCTTTATTTTATTTTTATTGTACATAGTTTTTTATTATTATTTAGCTATGTTAATTTTATATTTTCTGTATATATAGTGTGAATGTGTTCATGTATCATTATAATTATTGTCCACGTTACAGATTATTATGTTTCTAAATAAACAAACAAAAAAAAACCCTAGCACAATCCCTATTTCCACTCATCTCTAAAAACCTCCTCGAAGGTTGAAGCGGCAGTGGTCCAGAGATCTTTTGTAGTATATATCATGGAGTTCTGGCAATGGTCGGATTCACCACTCAAGACATGAGTGTATGTGGCTAAAGCGCTCTCGCTCAAACTCCACTGGATTTAGCACCAGTGATGCGGTTGAGAGAGTAGCGCAGAGATCTCTTAGAGTCCTGCTTTTCCTTCTATATCTGGAGGGAGAAGTTTGACTTGGAGTTCCCTGCCTGATTGTATATATTGTATGACTGTGTTTTTATGTTTTTAATTTACTTATATTTAGGTTATTTTATTTTTTATTGTGCATAATTTTTTATTATATTTAGTTATTATTTTACCTTTATTAATTTTATATTTTCTGTGTATGAGGTGTGAATGTGTTCATATATCACTATAATTATTGTCCACGTGACAGATTATTATGTTTCTAAATAAACAAACAAACAAAAATTATTCATTTAGTCCTGATTTAATGTTAATTATAAAAAAGTAAATATTTCTATTAAAAGATGAAGATATGGATTGAGGTTAAAATAATACTCTGAATAAATGTATGATCCAGCTGGAATAAGCTTTAGGAAAAAACATTGTCTATGAAATAGTTTTATCTGATGATAATCTAAATTAGATGTGGCAAGATGTGGTGGTTCAACTGCTAGAATCTGATCCTTGATTCGGTCTGCCTCCATAAAGTCCATCTTCTGGTATATGTGAATATATATATATATATATATATATATATATATATATATATATATATATATATATATATATATATGTGTGTGTGTGTGTGTGTGTGTATATAAAAGTTTGAAATAATTATTAACAAACCCATAATATAAAAAATTAAATTTGCAATCTGCAAATTTCTTTGCAATGAGCAAATTTTTTGGCAGCTTCACAGCTATTACAATCCAGAAAATAGTTCAGCAGGTCTCTTGGCCACCACCTACGTAATCGTCGAGGTGGGCTGCACTGGTTTCTAGTGCTTTTAAGGTTTTCTGTCAGAGGATTTGTGTTGTAAGTTAGTCTTTGGTGAAAGTTATAGTTTTTTTTTTTTTTTTTGCATTGTCTGAAATTGTTGGGATGTTCAAGTCTTTATGTAATCTATCGTTTGCAACATAAAATGATGCGTCAACTATTCTTCGTAATGTTTTGGATTGGAAAGACTGGATCCAGTCTATATCATATAAAAAACATTTTAGTGACTTTTATATTTAATTTTATATTAGTATTTGGAGTATAGAGGATTACAGGAGCTCTCCTATTAGCTCTATGATTAGCACTAATTACATATGTGTTGAGCTCTTATTACCTCATATTATCCAAATATAAAATAGAGATTTACACCATGGTGTCTTCGTTACAGTATTAAGCTCCAGTAACATCCGGTTCTCTTAATACAAAATAAAGATTTCAGACCGAAAATTTGTACGGAAAGTGGTATTTATTCATCTGGAGATGGTAATTTGAATTTACTTAGGTGAAAGCATTTATTTTTCGATCTAGACATTTTTCCCTTGACTGTAATATAGTAATTGTAATATTGTAATTATTATAATAATGTAATTAAGCACAATATAACGTACAATGAGAATACTAGAAATAAATAGGAAAAATTATTGTTAGGCTTATATGAAGCAGATCACGTTGAATATATATATTGTGGTTTCAAATTCAAATTTTATATAATAATACAAACTGGCAATAAGGCATGATGTATGATAAATTTTTAAAGGAATTAAAAATTTGTCCGAAATTTGGTTTCGTTCAGTTTATTTTATGTTGATAAAAAATAATACAATCTTAACTACACAATACATGTAAATTAAAGTTATACAATTGGAGGAACGCGTAGTATAATTAAATGAACAGTTGTATAAAATGGAGGTTGGACCGCCGTCAGGTGAGCAGGGGATATTCCCACAGTTTATTATAATTTCATTTATTTTTCAATGATTATTTAATAATTTAAATTATGGTTTGACATTGTATAATTGAATATTTATTATGTATTTTAAAGTAACTATGTATTTTAATGGGCGTTATGCCGTTAAGATGGCACACTTAGAAATACATGCATTCATTACTGAGTGTCTGTAAAGTCGAAATAAGGAACTTGGAAACATTTTTAATAATAATAATATTTGGAAAAAATATTTTCTCATTTTTATGCCTCAGAATTGCTGAGTTCTTAAAAATTAGAAAAGATTTTTTATCGCAACTTAATAATTTCTCAGTAATATCTATCATAATAAAATTGAAAAATTAACAAATATTTAAACATATTTGGATGTTATAAATTGCTACAAATGTCGAAATTTATTGATTTATTTTTGATAACAATAATTACAATCAAAGATTAAACTTTAAGCTGGAAATAAAAATCATTTTTTTGATAGATGCGGATATATTTTAATGACAAGAAGGCGTAAAATCTTACTTCCGTGTCTTTATATAACTCCAGCCTGAAAAAAAAAATTGTATACAATTTTTCTGTTTGTTATTCAATTTTCATTTCAATATTTTGTTTTTGACTGTGAAAAATTGATAAATTAATCTAACTGAATGAACAAAAAATCATTAGAATAGAACAAAAGCATGACGTAACAAATGTAGTAACGTTTCAGAGTTTCAGAACTTATCAATTCAGAAAGCTTAATATCACTAGAAATTAAATCTAACTATTGAGTAAAGCAGATATTAAAGCATTTTAAGCAAGTTTAAGCATTTTAATTTTTAGAATTTTTCTTACCTTGGTCTTTACACACTTGGTGTACTCGTAAGCTGTTTCACATTTATTTGCCTTAACTGAAAATATTGTAAAAAATAATATATTCTTCGAACAGTTTATTGATTATCAAGTCAAATTAGATTAAATGAAGTGTACCTGATGGTTCGCATTCTGAGATTGCCTTCATATATTTCTTCTTCAATTCTTCATCTTTTATTAGTTCTTCTATCAACAGTTTCTCATTTTCTATGTCAAAGGAACCATCTGCTTTAAACTAATAAACCAAAATAAAAATGTAATTTTCATCTCCATCTACAATGTTTCTGGTTCTATTTTTTTTTTTTTTTTAAGTAGGAATTTGCAATTATAAAGAAATAATATTGATTAAGCGAAAATAATATGTAGTAATTATTCTTACCACACCATGCTTTTCTAATCCACAAGCCAAAGTACACTGCAAAATGAGACAATTGATCATTAATTTATTTATTGATCATTAATATTTAGCAGTTCTTTTTAAAATTATAAAAAATAAAAAAATATCAGAATTACAAGCATTGTTGCATAAAATGGATGAAAGTGTTTTCACCTTTAGACAACAAAACAAAAAAAAAAAAAAGTCTGTAGAAAATGTTATCAAGAATGGAGAATATGAGATCTAATACATATGTGTCATTTTAACTGTTTTTAGTTAAAAGTAGTTTTGTACTCATGAATGATAGATAAATGTTTTAGAATAAAAAATCAATATCCCATAACCCATTACTTGATAGAATTAATTAAAAAACATATCTAGTGAGAAAAAAAAATTTTAACCCTTTTAAAATCAGATTTTTTGTCTCAAGATACATAGAATAAAGAAATACAAAAAATGCTAATTTTTCAAATCGATTTATTGATTTTTTTTTTTATTCTTTCCATGTTCAGTAAAATAATGGTTCTTTCTAATATTTAAATCATTACGTAGGTATTTCTATTCAATGAATCAAATGAGAAAAGAGGTTGACACATTATTTACCACAGAGACAATAGAGGCAGATAATTTAAATATAATTAGAACATTTATGATTCTTATATTATTAATACTATGGCAAAAATAATTAAAACATGATTGTTTAGACTGTATATTTCTTTTTTTTGGAATTGCGGCTTAAAATATTTCACTGTTGTTTTATTGTTTGAGTTTTTCTCAACGTCGTGAAAATGTCACATGTGTCATTTATCTATATAAATAAAATAACGATTTTGTCTGTACATTGAATAGAATCAACCCCTTCTATGACATCATTCCGTTTCATCTCATTGCAGACACCAAATCCACTTTTAAAAAAATTTTTGTCTGTCTGTATGTCCAATTGCAACGAAATTTCGTCAGCGGTAAGCTCAGCAATGGCTTATTGTTGACTTATGAAATTTTGACATTATACTAAGGTTTACTTGACTTAAAACATAGGCTTTAAATGAAAACAAAATATTGAATAAAACCAGAGTTATGAAGCCTTTGATAATTTGTCTAGAGATCCCGGTTAGGCAGTTACTTCCATTCTCAACCCAACCTACTCTACAGCGAGCCATATTTAACAGTTGCACTATTTAACTGATGGAAAAAATTATTACGACTCAACGGGAAAAATCCGAAATACCTAACATCTGTAACGCGTTGCCGCATAAAACAAACTCATTTTTCAACTTTGTCCGATCTTTCCGTTCAAGGTGTTCATTCTATTCAACTTCCCGAGCCTAACGAATGTTGTCGTATAAATTTTTAACCTAACGGATTAGCCGGAAATTGGAAGAAAATCTTCTAAAAATTAAAATTACCTCTCCCCCATAATACAATATCCATCTCAAAAAAATATTTTCTAATTTTAACTATTCACCCGTCAACGATTTGTACATCAGCTAGTTTCTACTATAACCGATGTAGATATATTACTAAACTTCATTAAGACAATAAATAAATAAATAGAGCCTTTTGCAATTTGAAAAAAAAATAGAAATAGTAACAATATTAAAAAAAATATTGTAGGAGTAATGTAAAAAATATTAAATTAATCTTAAGTTTTTAAGGTGACGATGTAACAGTTAAAACAGACAACAAAAGAATGAACTTTTTGGAAAATAAACTATTTTTATGAAAATATATGTCCAGCTAAAATACCTTAGCTGCATTTGGTATAGCAGGATCATTTAAATCTGAAACATAAAATATAATAATGAAATATTGTTAAAATCATATTTATTAACCCCAATCAATAATTTTATTTATGTCATTTCTTTAAATAATTTAAGATGAATTGATAAACACATAAGCAACAGAATACTTACTCAATTTTTCGATATCGCTTTCAAATCCAGTTTCTTTATAACAAGCCTTCTTTATTTCGTCGTGATTTGATGACAGAGCCTGTAATGAAAAATTTATATTTTAAAAAACGAAAAATAAATTAGAACCTCTGCGATGTTATTAATAACAATTGCAAGGCAATTTGAAAATATACTGATTGCCCTCTGGTAATCATAACAGTTTTCTTATTCAACTGAACTTACATCTTACACAAGGATGACCTAAGCTCAGAAGAGAAGTAGAAATGTCCGACTTTATATTTAGCTTTTCTCTTATTAGTTATGTATTTTAAATATTTGCGAAAATAATATACTAATACTTGTTGTTATGTTGGTCTTAATTATTTTATGTATACACGGTATCTCAGTTCTTAATATCCGAACTCTTAACTCTGAACTCCGAAAAAATCATCTGAAGTATGGGCCGATTTCAAATAGTAAAGTATTAGTCCTATTTGGTGTTTTCTTAAGGAGGTCAAGTTTTCTCTTTAATACGAAACGATTACAAAAATATTATTTCATTCAGGTAATCAAAAATTTCTTCATAGTAAACTAGATAAAATTTTCTTAAAATACAAGTAGAATTTATAAATTTAAATCATTTAAAGGAGACTTTTGAGCGCCCAAACTTTGCTAAATTGTGTTTTTCATTAAATCATCGATTATTCACGATGTTTATTAATCATCTTCTAGATATTCAACTTTTATAAAAACATCCTTGTTTGATAAGATTTTTTAAAAATTTATTTATTGAGTATTACAACTAATTGTCACTTGGCCATTAATTATAGTGAGGTAGGATAACATTCACACTATATGTACCAAAAAATATATAAACTAAATAGAAGAAAAATAACAATAAATAATAATCAAAAAGTATATAAAATAAAATCACTTAAAATAAGAAAATTAAAACAAAGTAAATACCTATATTGATAAGATTTAAATATTTATCAATTCATTTGAGGTTTGCTTTAAAATATAGTTTAAATAATAATAATTCACCTGTATTTGTGTGAAACGTTATTTAATTTAATATTTCCACTCCAGAATATCTGTATTATCAGCAAAAATAACCGAGAAATTATTACAAAGTTTTAATTCCTTATTTTTGTTGTTACCTGACATCTATTAGTACATTAATTATGAAAATTCACTTCATTCATTAAGAAAACAGTTTAGAAAATACCGATTTTTCAAAAATGTATTATCTAGGCTGATAATGAACCATTCGTTTATAACACAGATATTTATTGTAAAAATAGATCCTTTTGGCATTTAGTAACAAACTAATATTTTTAATGATGTAGAGATGGTTGACAGTTGATATAATATGAGAAGGAGTTAGTCGGGAGCGCGGTCAGATAAATACTAAATTAAAATATAGTAATTATTTTATTTTAATTTTGCCGACGTCTCGACCCACTTTGTAGGTCGTCTTCAGGGCGTAGGATGTAGCACTGCGGGAGGCAGCTGAAACACTCATTTTTCACACTGCCATTGTTTCAACTGCCTCCCGCAGTGAGGATGTGCCTCCCACATCCTACGCCCTGAAGACGACCTGCAAAGTGGATCGAAACGTCGGCAATATTAAAATAAAATAATTACTATATTTTAATTTAGTATTTATCTGACCGCTCCCCCGACTAACTCCTTCTCGTAATATTTTTAATGATAATTAAGTTAGTAACTAAGTCTTACTAAGAGATAATAATTGAATAACTAATATTTTAATCTTAATATTTACGACTACGTGAAAAAAAACATTTTAGTGTTTCATTTTTTTTTTCTACTTTTCCATTCGAAATCGGTCCATACTTCAAATGAATTTTTTTTGTTGGAAATTTTGTTTAGAATCTCCTCCCAGTGTTTGGCTATTAAGAACGGAGATATCCAGTATATTCAGCAAAAATATTTATATATGGTGTGAATATCATTATATCATTATCACTATTTTAATTGTTATTGATTGAAATAATATGTAATTCAATAAAAGAAAAGAAAAGAAAAACCTGTATCTCCCTATCCCAAACGTATCCAAGGCTAAAAAAAATACCGTATTTTCAATCAGTGACTTATTAATCTTTCCTTTTCATTTTCATCCTTCTTTGCCTCTCCACATTGCGTTTTTTCGGCTGAAGTAGCATAGTTACTTTAATCCTCCTTCTTGTAAAAGAGTGTCCATTTGCTTCTTTTTATTATTTATCTTGCACTGAAGGAGGTAAAAATGAGTCACAACGCCTGCATGAATCTGTCGTAGTTATGATAGTTAATGTTACTAAATAATTTGATGGAATTCTCCTCTTCGATGATATCAAGGGCGCAACTAGCACAAGAAAATTGACATAAAAGCAGCAGAGCAATTTTAATATTCAATTTCTTTTTTGTAGGATGCACTGCTCTTCAGTTTTCTAAATATTGCAAAATAAAGATCCAATCAGAGACTCAGATGCATATTATAGGTCTCCTATAATCAAAATTAAAAACAGTGAAGACAAATACTAAAGGAAACGAACTAATAATCTCTTATATATATTTATATAGTATTTTTTAATTATTAAAACCTATGATTTCAAGTGGTATTAATTTCCTATTTACTCCAAACTATAATTTAATATAATATTGAATATTAGAACACCCCTTCCAAATAGCAACATTATTGTTTCCTCAGTACCGAAGATAGGGAAACTTTGTATTCGAGAGATTAAAACTAAAATTGTGCTTTGAAAGGAAAATTTCCACTCGGGTGTTACGTTTCAGACATTAAGGAACAAATTTGGTTTGGACATGTCTGCAGTCAAATCGATATTACGGGCATATCACCTGTAACGGGCTTGTACCGTGAATCCCATTTTCATGAAATTTTAAGATATTGTGGGGGTTGGTGCCTAGATGGCCCCATATCAGTTTTATCCAATTTCACCCATCACGCTTACGCACTCGAAAACTTATTTATATATATATATATATATATATATATATATATATATATATATATATATACACACACAAATATTTTAGAAACGATTTGGTTCAAAGTTAAATAAACAGTAGGCATTAGTAACAAAATAACGTAATATCAATTTTATGGAATTCCATCCAATACTATCAAGGAAAACACGTTTGCTCATCTATATAAATAAAATAAAGTCTGTACATTGAATAGAATCAATCCGTTTTATGACATTTTTCCGTTTCATACATTGCAGACACCAAATCCCCTTTTTAAAATCTGTCTGTATGTCCGCATTGCAACAAAAATTTTGTCAGGGGTAAGCTCAGCAATGGCTTATTGTAAACTTTTGAAATGTTGACATTATATTAAGGTTTACTTGACTTAAAACGTAGGCTTTAAATGAAAACAAAATATTGACTGGAACCAGAATTATGAATTCTTGGGTAATTTGTCTAGAGATCCAGATTAGGCAGTTACTTCGATTCTCATCCCAACCTACTCTATCGCGAGCCATATTTAACAGTTGTACTATTCGGCTAATGGAAAATATTATCACAACTCGACGGGAAAAATCCGAAATACCAAACATCTGTAACACGTTGTCGCTTAAAACACACTCATTTTTTAAATTTGTCCGATCTTCCCATTCAAGGTCTCATTCTATTCAACTCCCCGAGCCTAACAAATGATGTTGTATACATTTTTAGGATTAACCAAACGGATTAGCCGGAAATCGGAAGAAAAACTTCTAAAATAATTAAAATTACCTCTCTCATCCATCTCAAAAAAAGATTCTCAAATTTTAACTATATACCCATCAACGATGGATACATCAGCTAGTATTATATATGAACAATTATATAAGTATTATATATGTTTTCCTTGATACGTCTATATCTCTAAAACAGCAAGTTCTATTTGACTCAAATTTAAAGGGAATTATTGGATTTGGAAGGAGGATTGGTAAACAAATAATAAAGTATGTATGAAATTCTACCCACTTCTTTAAAAAAAAAAAAAAAAAAACTATCGCTTTCTGATCAGGAAATTTATTATTTGACACGCCTTTAGTTTAAAAACTCAAACTCGATTTGACTCAAACTTAGATTGACTTTAAAAACATGTCGTGGGTTTATTCCAAAAAGAGATTGAGTACTATTTCATAATATTAATTCATCAAATGATTTGAGGAGATTTTCATATAGTTAAAACATTATAGATTCAATGTTTTTACATCAATAAATAAGAAAGAAATTTCCAAAAATGTGCTCGAAAGATTAGAGATTTTTTGCGAGAAATCGATGATATAAACTATTGAAAATTATAATTGATTTTCCAACTTACGAAATGTGCCGAGAGAAGAACTACGAGTCCTAAAAGTGAAAGATGCATATCGGCGAGAACTGATTTCGTTATGCTTCGTCTCTAGAAATAGGATGTCTACTGACTCAACAAGTTTCAGTTCTAGCTATATGCTCTGTGCTCAAGACATTAATTATTTGCTTCACTGAAACAATGGTGAAATACATAAGCCGACCTTAATAATAAAGGGAGAATTTTAAAAAATTTAAAATTAGTGCAATTTCCCTTTGTCGAATTAGCGATTGTGTAGTTCCTTACATAACAGATTTACATAACAGATCCTCCAGAAGGACAGTTTTCAACACACTTTTGTTTGTCCTCGGAGCAAACAATGAATATTTCCCGAATTAGACAAACACGGAGATTTTCTCATTTACTATCACTTATTATATTTTCTGGGTGATAAATATTCAGGACGCAGTCTTTAAAAAAAAAAAATTAAGTATTATGTTCATAGTTTTAAATGTTTTGTATACAGTAGCATTTGTATTTTACATAGCTTATTCATTTACTGAGCTAATACTTTTTTTTAAATTTTTACTTATTTATTGTATCAAACCTTAGGCTAGAAGTCATATTTTATATGTGTACATTTTTTTTTATTATTAAGGTACTTAGTTCTAGAATAAAGTTATTTTCTATCGATCTAAAAGTATATATTTTTTTATTGATGATATTTACAACTGTATTATAAGTAAAAATACATTCAGTAAATGTGAACAAAAGAATATAAAAGCATGAAATCATTTGTTGAGAAACTACCCACTGGTGGCACTCTAAAAATGTATTTACAAAAGAAGATCTCGAGGCCATCTTCTTTTCAGACGCCTCGGAGGGTTGTCTAGGATCGAAAAGGAAGCAAGGTTAGAAACGAGAGGGTTAGGATGGTTGTGAAGTTTGTTATGGAAGGAAAGGTATCTGGATTGGGCCTGGTCAGAAACATACGAAACATTAAGGTCGTTATGGATGATTTTTTTTGTGACGAAGTAAGGAGCTGTGAGGATTTTACGAAGGATTTTGGATTGTAAGGATTGGATACGAGAGGAATTCGATGGCTTAGTGGAGCCCCAGAGCTCAATTCCGTAAGTCCAAATAGGTCTTATTGTAGTCATGTATATGAGTCTTTTGTAATTGACTGGGAGCTTAGAGCGTTTGTCTAGTAAGTGCTGGAGTAGTCGGAAACGTCGAGCTGTTTCTTGTCGTTTCAGTCTGGTATGAGGATTCCAAGTTAGACGTTTGTCTAAGTGGAGTCCAAGGTATCGAATTTGTTCAACAGGGATAAGTGGGATATTATTAAAGGATACTGTAGGACAAGAGGACATAGGTTTACGACGAAGGGTAAAGGTGATTTGATGGGATTTATTGGAATTTATTTTGATCCTCCAGTTTTGAAACCATTCTTCAAGGTTTGTGATGTGTGATTGAAAGGTTTGGGATGCAATTGTTGGGTCGCTATTAATTGCTAGGACACATGTATCATCGGCATACGTGGTAATGACAGTGTTGGGATGGGTTGGGATATCAGCTGTATAAACTGTGTAAAGGATATGACCTAGGATACTACCTTGAGGAACACCAGCAGACTGGGAAAAAGTGATGAATAGGCATTATTATGATTTACTTTGAAGGATCTGTCAGTTAGATAGGAACGGATAATGAGAAAGTATGTAGGGTGTAGGAATTTACGGAGTTTGTAAAGCAGTCCTGGGTGCCAGACTCGATCAAAAGCCTGAAAAGTATATTTAAATACGATTTTTGACTAAGTACTAAAAATAATTGGTATTGTCTTTAATTTTGCTATTTTAATTAAAGTTTGAACAGTTTTTGAGAATATGGGGGAACCTAACTTCTATGAGAGAATTTTGAAAATATTTGAAAACTACTTTTATTTCTGGATATTGGGAAAAAAATGTATAACTTGGGATAATTTTAGGAAAATTAATAGTCATAATTAATAACCAGAGAATAAATGAGGTCTAAGAATTAAGAAAAGAACTTTCTTATTATACCATCATAACTTTTCTATAATATCTGTCATAATATAATTTAAAATAAAAGTTTTAGGAAAGGAATTTATAATTATCTGCAGGTTAAAAGTGGTAAAATCATTTGATTTATTATCGAAAGCAGTAATTACAATAAGCACAGATAAAAGGAATAAAGATTAAATTTTATTGCTTATATACAAATAACATCTTGGATAGGTGCGAATATATTTCAGTAATGAGGACTCAGATCATACATTCTCATCTTTAAAAAATTCAAGTCTGCAAAAAAAAACATAAATAATATATAATATAAACAATAATTAAAAATGATAAAAAAAAAATAATACATAACAAATAGTATGAAGTGACATTCATAACCTTTCTACTCAAAAAGTTGTATATTGGGAATTAAGAAAGTTTATTATGTAAAACAAACGTTGAAATAATAATAATAATAAAAATTATAGACGTTGAAACCAATTAATTTAAAATAATTGATTACCAACTGTTTTACCTTCTAAGGCCATTAAGATAGTTACGGTATGTTTTTCCCAATCATTTATTCTATCAAATTTATGTATTTCAGTTAATATCCAGTTCCTACTACGAATAATTATTTTATTTAATTATGTACGTTTCACCATTTGTTTAATAGTCCTAGAAGATTACCAATAATTTTGGAGACCGACATTTATTTATATTTTATTTTAGTAGGCATTTTTATTGTTTTTTGTGAAAGTATACATACAAATTTTAATTTTCATATTACTATGATCCTATTTTTATTTTTGTGCTTAGCTTCCTTACCCTTAACAGGCAAAACAGTTTTTTTTACAAGCCAGAGAGGACGTGGGATTTATACTAGAGTTAAAAGTCTCTCCGTCAACGGAACGCGAACTCGTAGTTATTTTATCAAGTAAACATCGGTTTATCCGGTTTGCAGGTAAGATATGATTTGCACACGCGATAGCCGGCTACCCCGCCTCATTTATATATTTACTTCATCTGTAAAATTAAATATTAACTGACACCAGAGCAATTATTTATGAAAACTGCACATGTAGTGAAACCCTAATTTTTCCTGTCTGTTGTACAATATATTATGCAATCGTTTGTTTGGTTTAGATGGCTAAACGTAGCAGGTGCGTCTCAGCCATGATAAAGCGCGCTCGGGTATTTCCGTTTGTGGTCGGAATACCGGAATACCCGATGTTACTACTCTCTTATCTCTGATACCTTATCTCACCTATAGTTATTTATTAAAGTTTTTCATGATTTATATTTAATTATTTTTTATTGCTTATTGGTGATGGGGATAGAATTTTTAAATTTCGGCATTTAAACCATTTTTATTGTATATTATGTATGCGTTTTAGTTGTTATTTTGATTTGTTTAGTTCTTTTGTTTATATACATTTACTTTTATTATTATTAGTTTCTGTATTATTTATTTTATTTATTCTAAATAGATTATTAATGTGCTGTCTGAACACTATTATAAATGTCCTTAATTGTGACAGATTGCAATATTGCTGAATAAATAAAAAATAAAAATAAACCATTTTAAATTATTTCAATGATGAAAATTGCTGATTTATATTAAATAAATCTATTTTTTTAAATTGTTATGGTTAATTTGACTAAAATTGTTAAAATCGTTCTCGAGAAAATTGTTAAATCGGTGATATAACGTGGTACTTCCAGTCAGTCGAATTTAGCGAACACGTTATTGTAACATCATAGGCGTTTACTTGTATTAAATACGTATTTTTACTTTTGAATGACTTATTATATTTGAGATAGGCGTGGATTTCAGTTTAAAGGTCGGATTCAAAATTTTCCACGGTCACAATATTTTTGTTTTTTTCATTCTATATATTTCATGTTTAGTTAAGAAAAAACAGAATTACTAACCCTTTTCATTTATTTAAGTAAACCTTTTTTTGTTTTGATATTTTTCTTACCTTGTTCTTCATGCACTTCGCAAACTGGTAAGCTGTTTCGCATTTATTTTCTTTAGCTGAAAATATTATTTTTAAAGATTATAACATTTTCAGCAAATGATTTATTAACTAAGTAGCCATTCTAATTAGATCAAACGACAAGTACCTGATGGATCGCATTCAACAAATGCCTTTATGTAATTCTTCTTTATCTCTTCGTTTTCCATTAATGCCTCTGCAAACAATTTCTCCCTTTCTATGTCAATGGAGCCATCTCCTTTAAACTAATCCACCAAAAGAAAAAAATGTGAATTTTTACAACCATTTTTCTGAAATTCTAATATATTTCAGAATTTGTTTAATATAGTTAACTGAAGCTCGAATAAAATGATAGAGTAATATTGGTAAATTATACTAACCATACCCTTCATTTCAAGGCCGCAAGCCAACATACACTGTAAAACGAAAAAAAAAAAGATGTAGATTAAAAGAGTTTTTTCATTATAAATGAATATTGAATAAGGTTTTTTTTCAAAAATATTGAAAATATAAGCGTCATTGAGGAAAATAAATAAGATATGGATTTGGTCATGTTTATAGAAAAAAAAATAAATTTGAGAAATAGCTTTTAAAAAGAGCAACAGAAATTTTTCAATATTATTAGAACAAAGCAACAGGCATTTACTGAATCTTTATTTTTTTTGGTAGTAGATATACAAAGATTGAACGAATAACATAATAACTAGCCCTGCAATCAAACATTTTAAATATTATTTTAAAATGCAATGTTCGAAAAATTAAATATTTTGAATTAAATTAAATTGGCATGTTTTAAATTGATTAAATTTGCATTTTTCGGCATAAAATATTTAATTTGATAAAGACAAATTATTCCAAATACGAAATATCAAAATTATTTTCTATAATAATAACAAAATACAAATTAATTTCGTCCTATGAACTGACGTTTTATAACTAATCATTAATAAATAGGATTATAGAAATTATGAATATATATATATATTTAATTTTCAATATTCTCTGATGTATTACACAAATTTAATCCTTTCTTTTTCTTTTCTAAAAAGTATTACAAAAGACCACTAAAGAAATAAAAATAACTTTTTTTAACTTGTTTATCAGACAAAATATGCTCTTCTACATTTTCCTAGGATACAACTGTGGCTATTAATATTTTTAAGGCAAATTAATTTTATGGTCATTATAAATTCGATATAATGGATCTTAAAGATTTTCTAAACTCTATTTTAGGGAAAATATAGCTACAAACAATCTATCTTATCTTTTGCATCATAAAATGTAAAATAGAAAAAATATAATTCATTTTGTTTTTTTAAAATATATTATTTGAAATAATACCCAGGTTTGATAAAAATGAACCAAGGTAGTAACGTATTTATAGTAGTACACATTTATAGCTAACGTACCTTAGCTTCCTTCGGAAAATCAGGATCATCAATATCTGAAACGTAAAATATAATTACAAAACAATAATTGTTAATCAATTCAGTTTAAATCGTGAACTTATTTTTAAAAATACATAATAAAATGTTTTAAAATTTAACCAACTGATTGGTCAAACAAGGAAAAACTAATTTATTGATTATTAATAGTATTTGTATTTAATTATTTTTATTTTTTACTTGTTAGAAATAAATAAACAATTGAACATAAAGTAATAAACATATAAGGACCAGAAAATACTTACTAAACTTTTGGTTTTTTTCTGTAGGTCCCTTACACAACTCCTTTAATCCTTCCACAGTTTCTGACAAAACCTGCAAAATGAAATATATATATGAAAAGTTAATACACACATATATATATATATATATATATATATATATATATATATAGAGAGAGAGAGAGAGAGAGAGAGAGAGAGAGAGAGATAATGTGTTGAAGAATAAAATAAGAAATAATAAAGTTTAGATAGTAACGATCAGGTACCCAGAATCATAACCTCTTGCAACAACACACAAGAGAAGATTGGCGACAATCTAGATAACGGCTCTGCTGCGAGTAACAAAATCCTACAGGAATGTTACTCATGAAGCGGTGCAAGTTTTCGCAGGAGGGGTACCTCTCGACCTTCCCCTGCAAGAAGACAAGCTTAAGTATATTCTTAAGAAAGAAGACTCAGCAAGTCTTCCGGAAAATCTCCAAGCAGATTGGGGCAGATACATCAAAATGGCAAAGAATAATACGGGAGGACCCCATTGAGTGGTGGAATCGACGGTGGGTCATACTCATAAGGGCTTTACCTTGAGGAAATACTTTCCTACCGTCTATTCAAGGTAGAAGCGAAATGGATCCTCCCTGATTATTGGGTGTCGCAATTCCTGATGGGACATGGGGGTTTTCGCGCCAAGCTTCATGGCTTTGGAAAAAATTAACCCCCTATGTCCTGTTGTGGTGTTCCCGAACCTGGTGAAAATATCGTCACGATTTGCACCGATTTTGAAGCAATAAGGGCCAAACTACTGAGAGAAGCCGGACTCTACATCATCACTGAGGACGTTATCCCTCAGATAGTAAGTAAGCATAACTACCCGTACTACGAAGCATTCGTGTACGGGTGGAAGGAAGTAGTCAGGGATGATCACTTCAACCTCCGCTAATGAAGACTGAAGAACCTGAAGATAAGTGGTAAAAGTATCAACTACTTCTACCAAAAATATTGGTAGAAACCTTTATTGTCGAGAGGCAAGGGAAGAAGAAAATAAAATAATAGTAACGATCATAATGGAATCTTATGTTTCAGAAAGATTAAAAGTATATTAGGATAATTTTGGTTTATTATTTTCAATAACCAAACATTGTGATCGACCAAAAAATTCAAAATTAACCCTTATTAACTTAACCCCCTCTCAATATTTGAGATTTCACCTTTCAGGATGCGTAGAATTCGAAAAACGAATACAATTTTTTTTGTCCGTCCGCCGTTCGCGCATTTTCTCCGAAACTACTGGGCCGATTTTTTTTCAAATTTTGACATAAAATCAGAGGTCACCCGAGGATCATCCTTCTTCAACGATATTACCATCAGCCTTTTACTTTCAAAATGTAGGCTGAAAAACCTTCGTTGCTATAGACTGTAGCTCGTAAACGAAAGTACCGATTTCAATAAAACTTCGCTAAAGTCATTTTCTTGACGCCCTTCTGGAATTTCAAGTCGAATTAACTTAACTCAATTAACAGTTACAGGTTACTTTTCAGTCGCTGTAGAGATTCTTATAATGGGTACGATACTTAATACTGAAATTTGCTCAAACAGGCGTCCCACTTTTCAAAATTTCATCGTTTCTTTTTTGTCTTGTTCTCTTTAATTTTTATCAAGTAGGACTTAGCTTTACTCTGTATATGCCCAATAGGTTACTTGATTTATGACTGTTGTATATAGTGTATTTTTTCTACAAGATTTGAGGCTTTATCTGAATAAATTCTGATTCGTCATTCGTGATTTATAGACAATGTGAATTATCTATTACCTATTAATCTCAAACTTGAGATATATATTTCATTCTCATGAAGACCATGCATAAGAAAATTTCAATAATTTCCATTAAAAAGTTTTATGTTTTCATTCGCTAGCGAAAGGGAGTATGGATTCCTCTGATTCAAACTATTTTTCAAAACACTTATTGCTAGAGGTAGTTCAATCGAAATTTTGTGTTATATTATTATGTATGTAAAACTATTTGTACACTGTTTAAAGGTAGGCTAAAAGGAAAAGGAGTGTCAAATTGTTCCGAATTTTCAATCGCTTTTACTATTTTATCTTGTTAGTGGATTAAAGGACCACTCTTTCACGAAAACCCATCGTCTATTAAAGAGAAGATAGAGGAACAGTAAATCAAAATTCTAAGAATTTTTCACACTATTTTACCTTTTTGCCTACCTTTATGCTGTTGAAAAATAATTTTAATAGAGAGCAGATATTCATTTCTTTCTTGTCCCTTTAGAAGATACAAAATGAGGAAAAATTGTTATTTTTCTATTTATTCAGATTTTTATAAATCAATTATTCAAATTTAAAAAAAAACTCAAACAATGAATAAAAATATAATTGATAACTTAAGATAATTTATTATTTAAGGCAAAAGTTAAAAAAATATGTGTTATTCGTTAGCTGAAAAACAGATAAATCATACATTACCATAATTTGTCATTTAAGATGAATGTTGTCATATACTGCATTCTACCAATATACTAAAAGTTTTAACTATCTGTTGCTGTTAATCAGTTTTTTTAGAAATATGTTTTGTTTTGTTTTGTTTTTCTCATTTTCTCAATTCCTATTTTTTTTTATTTATTATTTTCTTGTTTTATACTGGAAGTAGGGAAAGGCTACTGGGCCCTTTCATGTCTCCCTCAGAGCCAAAAAAATATAAAGGAATAACCTCAGGAAATATATAAACTATTAAAAATGACAAATGATTTTTCAACTTACATAATGTACCGAGAGCACAATTATCAGTCCTAAAAATGAAGGGTGCATGCTGACAAGAACTGATGTTATCCTTCCTCCCTGGTAATTGGATGTGTCCTGACATGTTTTGGTTCCAGCTATATATCACTGTGTCGGAGGACGTTTATAATTTTTTTGTCTTTACAAACAATGGTATTTGCATACAATGGTATACAAATACAAAAGCTGACTTCAGTAATGAAGCGAGATTTTAAAAACATATAAAAATACTCCAATTATACTTTTTCGAATTAATAACTTTATACAACCTTACACAACGGATTCGTCCTCCGAATGTAATGTTTTCAACACACCATTGTCCACTGAGGTAGCAACGAATAATTCTCGAAAGATTAAAGCACGAAAAGTTACACATTTACAACAGCTTACTCAATTTCAGATTATCATCTATGTTTCGAAGAGGTCATAACTTTATTGGGTTCAATTTTCGATTGAAATGTCCCGGGCCCAATGCACAAAATCTTTGTAATATCTGTTAAGTTCTGCTCCGTCACAAGCTGAGGGAAATCCTACGTAAGAACATTGAGACCAGTTCGCTCAGCGGCCTTGCCCTCAGTGCATCAAAGGTTCATAATAATATGCCCAGTTGTTTCCAATTGTTATAAGGGCGGGGTGGCCGAATGGGCTAACGCGTGTGCACTGCCGTTGCTCGGCAACCGGATATATGATTCAATGATATGAAAATAGTCACGAGTTCGCCAGAGGGGATTTTAAATTCCCCGCCCTCACCCTCTGGTCCGGGAAAATCCCGTATAGCCTAAAAGGCGAGGTAGGGAAGAACAGAAAAAAAAGAAATGTTTCCAATTGTTCTCAGAACTCAGCCAAGTCCTTTTTCTATTTTATTTACATTGAAGCAAGCAGCCCAGCTGCCATCTCTTGACAGATAAGAGAAGAAGATTCGAGATAAGGAAAGATAGTCTACACATGCCTTCTAGCATTCATGTCAATTTAAGACAAGAGACACAGCAGGCCAACAGGCAAATTTATATCGTTCTCTGTTCCATAAGAAGAAAAATGGAGTAGCAAACTCTAGTGGTATAGCAATGGGGCCCCAAGACCAGGTAGAGAGAAAAAGACCATGAAGAAAGAAGCAAGTAATATCAGATAATTTTTAGCCACCAACACACCTAATCCACTTAAACTTCAATAGTTTATTATATCTATATCGATATTTATTATCATATTAACACACATTGTGAATAGATTCGCTCTTAATAACTTCAACATTATAATAAGCAATCCGTTTAACCCAATATTTTACTTAGAGTCAACAAATCATTTAGTCTTAAATCTTATATCAATAAAATAAGAACCAGTTACAATAGCAAAATTATTGTCAATATCTCGGTCAATAATACAAGGGTTTGACGTAATAAATTAATCACCAATACTCCTCATTTGGAGCATACTGGGTGTATGTCCACCATGTATGTCTTTTCCAACCCTATGTCTTTTCTATCATGGTATATGTCTGAGATGTTCCCAACGGATAGGTAAATATTTTCATAAACCAGCTCAGCTGGCAAAGAATAGAATACAAAATAATCTTTATTTTGTGACAACTTGTCTTAAGAATAACCATTATGAACAAAAAACAAAAACCATATTTGACCAAAAACTACATTAATAAAAATTCAAGAATATATACAATATCTTTATTTATTATTATTAATTTATTTTATATTATATTTGGAACTGCATTTGAACGCATCTAGCAAATGTGCTGTCGTTCGTTTTGTCTGCTATTTCTTAAAAATTTATTATATCGTGAGCAGAAACCGAGGCCACTCCACTGCCTTTTTAGTCTTCTTTGAGACTCTCCTTGTAACAAGGAGGAAGAAAGAGAGAGTGTAAGTGCATTAGAGTGATTAATAGTTGAAAAGTGAAAGGTGATGTATTTGTTATGAATGTAGATTCATGTCTACTGGAATGTTCATGTCGCTGTGTGTGCTTTAATTTGATACATGCCAGGGTGCATTTACGATTTTTAGAAGTATTTTGGACTGGGACTTTTGTATTATGTTTATGTGGACGTATTTTGCTGAACACAAAAGTTTTGTTCCGTATTTCCAAATAGATTGTAACTAATAGATTGTTATAACTAGATGTAAATTAGTCGCTGATTTTGTAAGTTGAGAGGAGATATGTAGACCAAAGGTTGTGACAGTTGTATGTATCGTCTGGTCAGTTCTTGTTTCTTTTTTATTTGGTGTGTATGTTCCAGGTGAGTTTTTCGTCCAAGTATAGTCCGAGATACATGAGTTTTTGAAGAAACTGTCTTGTTGT